CGAAAAACCAAAAAAAATAAAAAAGGAGAGAGAGAAGATATACAGTATGGAGTGGAAAATGGCAACAAGAATGATTAAATGGGGTTGAGGTAGGAGGGTAGGATAGATGAGGGAATATGGAGAATGGAGAGGGATAACTAATCTTTAAAAAAAAACTCTGAAAAATCTCTAAAAGGTTATATAAAAATATATTACTGTTGAAACTTCCTAAAATATACATAAATATACATATAAAAGGAAGTAAGAGGAGTTACCCCATAGTGGGAGGACAATGCCTATCCAAGATAACATAGACTGTCAAATAAAAGCCCAGCATGGGGTATGGGCTATCTCTCCTCTAGTTGTTAATCAATGAGTTCTCACAAACTATCAATATTGCTCTGTTACCCAATACAATTTAATGATAAGACCCTATTGCTGATGACTATACATCACAAGTCAGAACATAAATAAATATAGCAAAACAATGAAAGTGATACCATGATAGAGGGAGACATCATGGGGATAGAGAGAAACCCAGGGCTAGGGAAGTTGCCCGGAATCCCCAAGGATGACTCCAGCTTTGACTACTAGAAATAGTGGAGAGGGTGCCTGAATTGAACTGGCTTACCCCAGGGATCAGACCAGTGAATACCCTAACTGTCATCATAGAGCTTTTTTCCAATGACCAGACAGAGCTCCAGGAGGCCAGTCAAAGAGAGAGAAGAGGGATTCTATGAGCAAGTGCATTGGGATCATGATGGGGAAACCTGCAGAGATGACCAAACCCAACTAGTGGGAACTCATGAAAGCTGGATCAATGGCTGTGGAGCCTGCATGTTACTGCACTAGGCCCTCTGCATGGTGAGACAGCCGTGTAGCTTGATCTGCATGAGGGTCCCCCTGGCGATAGGATCAGAATCTATACCTGGTGCATGAGGGGGCTTTTTGGAGCCCACTACCTATTATGAGACACCTTGTGCAGACTTGAGGCAGGTGGAAGGGCTTGGACATGCCTCTACTGGATGTGCCTTCCCATGGGAGACCTTTCCTTCTTGTGGGGGGAATTGGAGGGCGGAATGGTAAGGGGAGCCTGGGGGAGGGCAGGAGGAGGGAAGAGGGGGATCTTTGATTGGTGTGTAAAATGAATGAAAAAATTTTCTTAATAAAAAATAAATAAATAAATATAGCAGGTACTGACCTGGAAGTGTCATCCCTACTGTCTTGCATGTAATAGTGCTATAAGACTATTTGCACAATATCAGGAGAGAAAAGTTAACAAAAGTCTTACTTAGCTGTGAACCATAGAAGGTGTAATAATGACCTGTCAGGCAAGATACTTCTACTTGTACAGTAAAGGCATTATTGTTATGGGAGTAGCTAACCACTTTCTGATTAGATTTAAGTACTGTGCCACAAAACAGAACTCATTCCTAGTACCTTTACCTGAGCCTCCAAACCTTGGTTCCTAGGTCATAAGTCTTAGAAAATAATCTATTGCTATTATTCTGCTAAATGAACAATAGTAACAAACTGCTTCCTAAGTTCATTTTCATTTTTTCATTCTATGTGAATGCATGTTTTGCCTGACTGTATGTCTGTGCACCACAAATGTTCCAAGGAGCTTACAAAAGGCAGATGACATCAGTTCCCTTGGAATTAGAGTTTAAAAAATGGTTGTGAGCCACCATGTGGGTACAGAAAATCAAATCCCAGTCCTCTGGAAGAGCATCCAGTGTTCTTAATCAAAGCCATCTTACTAGCCCATCCTCCAGTTTTCTTCCTTATAATTGTGTATTATGTATCTCTGAGCCTTCATCAAAGAAAATTATATTTGTAGTATTAGATGTTGATTAACATAGAGACCCACAACTGGCAAAGGTGCAGAGAAAAAGAAACAGTGAAATGCTATCTTTCCTGGAGCATCTATATTACACACTCCTCTTCCCAAGACTCAGGGATCATTGCAGAAGAAATGATGAAAAGATTGTAAGAGTCAGAGGTATTGAACATCATCAGTAAAATAGAATTTAGTAGACATGACAGGGCAGTTGTACATAGGAACTCACAGTGGCTGTGACTGCATGCATAAAACCTGCTCTAGATTAAATCAGACCAAATTCCTGCATAGATGGAGAAGTTATTCCTATCCCTATATGAGGAGTTACTGGCTGTTGATGGCTGCTTTGGGAAGGTGAGTTGGTTTTCTGCAGGGATGTGTCTGAAAAGCTCTCCATTCTTCAGTAGATGATCTATATCCACGCACATACAGGTAACACTAAGTGAACTTAGTTCATTAAGTAGACACAAAGCACATGGATTTGGGAGATACATGCAGTTGGGAGGATGTAGAAGAAATTGTAGGAGAGGGAATGGGGGTGTGGATTTGATTAAATAACATGACATCTGATGCATGAATCAAACATAAAGGATGACAGATCTCAATTTCTTTAAAGAAAAAGTGACAAAACAGTTTCATGACTTTGTATTGATTATGTTTAAATAATTGAGGAATTCATTTTTTCTTCAAAAATGCTTTAAATACCAGAAAGTAACAGTTAGGATCACACTTGTACATTGCTCCTTACAATTGAAATCAGGCTACTCTAACCTACTCTGTTATTCTAATCCAGTGCAGTCTGTCTGTTTTCTAATTGCAACATTCCCTCCAAGTTGAAACATTTACTCCAGAAAGGAGAGGGAGTAGCTCTTAAATCTCAGCAGGTAAACAAAGGGTCAAATAAACAGGAACTTGGATGATTCTCCAGGGCCCTTGCCCAGCACTTAAAACAAAGAAGGGGGAGGAGAAGGAGAGGGGAAAGGGAAAGGAGAAGGGAAGAAGGAAAAGAGTAAACAGTTGTTGGGAGAGAAGATTGACTAGCAAAAATGATGGATAAATAATGGATAGATAGATAGATAGACAGATAGATGTTAGACATATAGATAGATAGACAGACAGACAGATATATTCTGACTATAGAACTGCCTGCAACCTGTACAGAAAGCTCCAGGATTGAATATAGCTTACTCCAAGGTTTCAGGTTTTTTTTCTAGAGTCATTACCCATGTTTCAATAGGCATTCTGGTGGTGGAGCTGCTTTTATTGAGATAGCTCTGCTTCTTGTAAGTAACCCATCACCCATACTCCTTTTAGAAATTCCAGTTTTTTAAAAAAAGTCATTGGTTGAACTAAATGGCCCTTGGTGCAATACTTACTTTGATCTGTCATGAGCTCCCTTTAGGGCGCAAGTAGATTCCTGTTGTGTCTTCCCAGGAAAAGTCTGTCACATAAGAAATAATGTTTCCTTTTCAGGCATACTTTCTTCTAAGCAACTCCATCTTACAAGGAACTTTTTTTTTTTCAAGACAGGGTTTCTCTGTGTAGTTTCGGTGCCTGTCCTGGAGCTCCTTCTGTAAACCAGGCTGGCCTCAAACTCACAGAGATCCACCTGCCTCTGCCTCCCAAGTGCTGGGATTAAAGACGTGCACCACCACCGCCCGGCCCAACAAGGAACTTTTAACCTCCCTTTGAGAGAGAAGGATGTCTGTAGCTCTTGGGTGAATACTGAAACTGTTCCATCTCTTAGGTACCACACATCCAGTGCAGACTGATGAATTAGTTTTTCTGGGAGTAGAAAAGGAGTCACCCTGTAGGTTTATGAGACTTAATTGAAACCTCACCATCAAGCGGGTGTATTAAAATCATAGAAGAAAGCCAGGTCCAAAATCTCATATGACATACCAGGTCAAGGAAATTGTGCAACTTCCTCATCTGAATTCCATACAGTGGTGGACAGTTAAAATGGTGAGGTGTTTGTGTGAAGTCCCACACAAACTTAAGTCTGATGTTTATGTTTTTGCATCAGGAACCAAGGATTACTGGACTGCTCCTGGAGCTCTAGCTCAGCAGGGTCTCCTGTTGATGCAGCCTACTCAACTGTCTGTCTCACATGCCCGTCCACCTGTTTATTTTGAGAACCAGGTCCACACCTGCCGTTTCCTGCTCGAGATCAGTATTGCCTTTCACCTCACAGCTGAACTCTGAAGTTTTCTCTTGAATTCTACCTTCAGCTTCCTACTAGCACTTGTCTGATTCCTAGCCATATTAACACAGAGTTTTGAAACCTCTTGAAGCCTTCTCAGGCTACATAACTTATATTCATTCTGTTAGTCACAGATATACGTGTGTGTGTGTGTGTGTGTGTGTGTGTGTGTGTGTGTGTGTGTGTGTGTATGGGTGTATATGAGTATATACATACATATATATATATATATACACATAGTGTGCATGTGATGCGTGATATGAGAGTTAATATTAGTTATTTTGGACTATAATAAAACAACTTGAACTGCCTTTGGCTACCAGCATATACAGCACATATGGATTATAAGAAAAACTGCTGTCACTAAAACTTTAAACTTTTGAATTTCTTGTTATTCAATAAATTATGATAATGTGGAAAGACACAAAAATGTTCACCTATGTTTTTGGCATTTACAATTTGAGTTAGATTTTAATTTTGAAGCAAAATTTAGACCCCATAGTTCATAAGAACAATTGTAGTTGTTCAGCTCTGCCTTTAGCAGGTATACATAGAGTAATGACACTCATTTTTAAAAAGCATAAAACTGCACAAATGGCAAGATACTTACATTTAAATAGAATCAAATACAAAAATCTGAAAGTCAAAAATTATACTGACTATTTAATATGTTTGAGGACCACATGCAATTTTAACTACATAAAAGCATTTATTTTTTACTTTGTATGTATTAAATGCATCTGCCTTTAACTCTTTAAACTTTTCCATAAAATTTAGACATTTTAGACATTATCCAGGCATGAACATCTGTGCATTTCTAGTCACAGACATATAAGACAGTAAACAATTTAATAATATAAAATTGTTGTTTATTTAAACAGTGTTGTTATCCAACACAGTTTTCTTTTGGTTAAACAAAGTCATAAAGTTATGTTCAGAAGGCTTCAAAACAAGCAGATTAAAAAACAAACAAAAATCTTAACTCTATGAAGGATCAGTTCTTTATTTAAAAAGAATAAGATTTGGTCCTTATCTAATCAAAAGCTTAACCAAGTTTTCAGAAAACAAACACAAACATCTACTTAGAAAAAACAGAAGTCTGGAATTTGTGAAAATTATTAAGATCATCTAAAAACTTAAGATGACTTTTACTACTGTAAACATTTGAGTTTTCCTTTGTTAAATAAGTACATTAAATGTCAACCTGACAAAATGCTTTAAATAACCTATTAAATTATAATTAATTGATTCATATAACCTTTTCTAAGATTTTTTCCTTCAATAACCTGTAATTCATTCAGACATTGTACAAATTTATAGTCTTACTTTGGGTTCTGTCTTGATTTTTTTCCATTTAAAATAGTTGAGTCATTTTCCTCAAGAAAAACTATCTTATTTATTTATAAAATCTCCTTTCATCCAAAAGACACTTTTCTCAATTAGCCTATCTTATGAAAAACACATTTCATTTCTGTAGTTTTCTTATATCTTTGCTTTCTATTTGCTATTTAGTCTTTACATGTTTAAATTTACATTTTGAAATAAACCTTTAAAAATTTCTGAATTTGGACAAAATATTCCCTTTTAAATAAAAATCTTTTACACTTTCTAAAAGTTTTCTCACTAAAACATGTTTTCTTTATTCTTCACATATAGAATTACACAAGTTAATGAGAATTGTAAATTTTAGTAATATTATGTTTTAATGACAACACATGAAGAAAGCAGCTTTGCAAATTTCCAACAATTTACTTACTTTTTTTTTTTATTAACTGGTCAATGATGCTATATTTTACATATATTAACTCTTTAATCTTTGTAATTATTAAAATCTACAATCTAAGTAAAGTTATTTTCAATGGACAAAGCAACTCTTAATATATTAGATAAGTTGAATGAGACCATGCAATGATTATTAAATAGTTAGGTTGATATTTGCAAATGGTATGTTATACAGCTGCAGAGTACTGCGCAGTTGTTGTCATAGATGGTATGATGTTTTGAGGAAGATCTTTAAAGCTGTGAAAAGGAACAGAGAGGAATGGTAAGTTATGTCTCTGAGCCCTTAAATTCATCTTCAAACAAATATATCTGATTATCCCTTTTATTTATCATGGAGTTACCTAAAACATTTTATTTACACAATGGACAAAAAAGGTGTTTAAAACCACTTTTATAGTACAAAGAACATGACAAGGAGTCAGAGTTTTCGGGTTTCAGTTCTGTATTCTCCCACTTACTAGCTAAAATTCTGGTTCTTTTCCTTAGAAGATTACTAGGAGCATCAAATAAGATAATGAGCATAGCAAAGCCTTTTGATATGCCTCAGGCTGACTCTGTATGTCAGCAGAATAGGTGGCCTCTACATAATAAGTTGATGAACTCAATGCTGGAAGATGTCTTAATGCTTATAGCAAGTCTCCTCAAAACCCATGTGAAATGCCAAGAAGGTATGAAACGTCTTCTATTCTAATTTTGGAAGGTAAACACATGGGATCCCCAGAGCAAGGTAACTAGCTAGACTAGGCATATCAGCAAGATCTGAGTATGGAAGAAAGACCCTGCCTCAATGAATAAGGTAGAAGGGAGATACAGGATGATTCCTGGCACCATCCTCAGTTCTATACATATATAGTCACACATGTGCCTGTGAACACAGATGTGCAACACACACACACACACACACACACACACACACACACACACACACACACACACACTCCCATTAGCCCATCCTAGCATAAAATGAAAGTTTTTTTTCTATTATTCTGCTACCTGAAGTTCCTATGCCAAATTTTTCACTGTTCCTTACTCTTTTGGACAAAGGGAATGCTTAAAATCCACTGGCAAAAGATTCCAAGAGGTAAATTAAACCAGAACTAACAATTCACATTTTTATATGAAGTGATTTGTCAAATTAACAACTTATGATCCAGCAGAAAGAAACATGGTCTATGTTGGTGAATATGAAGAAAAAATTGAAGGAGGAGAATAATAATTCCTTTGGTCATCATTTTATACTTATTCAGTTTCCAAAGTGCTTTCATTTTTACCTGTTTCTAATATTTCCAGTATACAGAAATGTTGAAATGTAAACCTCTTAATCCAGAAGAATGTTTTTCTTACCCTTGCTAGATAAGTTAAATGTAATTCTGACTTTGCGTTCAATTGATTATTCCTGGTACTTAATTTTAGATAGTCCTGATTTCAGATAACCTCTGTTTCTTATTATTTGTTTTCCCCTGCTGAAAATAGGGTCCGGAACTTACATAATAGTTGCCAACATATTTCTGAAATACATAAATGATTTGCTAGTTCAAAAGGAGCAGTGGAGATGACTAAGCAGAAGTGGGACACTGACATAATTTGGACACCATTCAAACAGGAAGAAGTGATCATTACATAAAAGTTCCTCAAATGTAAAGTCATTTTGCTTTTCAAAAGTGAACCTCTTATGCTCTCTCTACAAAAAGGCAATCCACTAATAGCTACCTACAACTCATACTTGCCCAAACTAAACCTAAAGAAGTTTATGTGATATCTTAGGTTAAGTGCAGAAAGCATTACACTTGTCTGATTTTCATCCAATATTCTTTTGAGACAGAGACTAAAATTTATTTCAAATTCTGCAAGTGCATATCAAAAGTAGAAATCTATTCATTAATTTTATCATTTGAGAAGCAATACAGAAAATGAAATATAGTTTGAGGGTTTAAAGAGATGGCCCACTAGTTAAGAGCTTTAGCTGCTCTTGCAGAGGTCCTGGATTTTATTGCCAGCATTCACATGGTGGCTAACAAATGTCTGTAACTTCTGTTCCAGGGAATCTGATGCCCTCTTCTGCCCTCTGTGGGCACCATGAATTAATGTGGTGTACAGGTTAGACATGCAGGCAAAATACTCATGCACATAAAAAAAAACCATGAGAAACATAGTTTGAATGTATTCTTAATTTTATTACTAACCTTTTAATAAAAATTTTAATAAGCCCTGTAAATTTTGTCTGACCAATGTGCATACACACACACACACACACACACACACACACACACACACACACACACACACACACACATTATGATTTGAGAAAAAGTAGAATACAAATATTATGTTCCTAAAAGCACATTTTCTCATCCCATGGTCTAGCCAGTGCAAAGATTCAATGCAATAGGATCATAAAATCCAAAGATAAAATGCGTATATGAGGTTAGCCTTATCCCAAGTCACTGGAAATTGGAAAGCTAGTCTGATCTGTGGATAGAATCTGATCCCTGACTATATGCTAAGCTAGCTACTCCTTGGAATACAGGTCGTCCAAGGACAAGGAACACTAACAGGCTATGTGGTCTAATCTGCAAAATTCCTCTCCTAGTGGCAAGCAGTGCTGTGAAGGAGTTCTGTGCAAAGAATAAGCATTCTTGCTCCAGCCACCTACTACCGTAACTTCTGAGGAGTACTGTGGAAAGGAGATGCATTGTTTGAATTTTGGCAGATGTATACTAGAGAAAATAAGTGCTATGAATAGTAGTGGACTCCACTCTCCCTTCAACTGTCTGAACAGATTTATCATTGGTGTTATATGTTCTCTTCTCTTACTTCTAAGTTTGTGGCTCTCCCATGATAGCTCCCTCTATGTGTGAATAAACCTTAGGTCTTACACATCCCTTCTGGCTATTTCTCCACAACTTACTTGACTGCTCTAATGCAGTTTGGGTGTGGATACTAAATCTGAGTAAAAACATTCATATATTTTAGTTTTTCTTTGTAGTTTAACGAAATGATAATTTCATAAACTTACATTGTACAATTTGGTGGCTTTATATGTGCTTGTTTACAGTATGAAATAATAAAATCAAAATACTCAATAAATCTATCTCTTTATGTGCTTATCTGTTTTAGGGTTAATACATTTCAAATCTAAACAATTTAAAAATATATAATACATCATTACTTATATTTCCAAGTCTGTGCAATTGATTACCAAACCATATTTCTCCTGCCTAACTGAATCTTTGAACTCTTAGACTAGTCTTTCCATATCCAACCCTCTTTTATCATTGTTGTTGTTTTTTGTTTGTTTCTTTTGTTTTTTTGTTTTTTCAAGACAGAGTTTCTCTGTGTAAGCTTGAATGTCCTGGAACTCATGCTGTAGACCAGCCTGGCCTTGAACTCAGTGATCTACTTGCCTCTGCTTCCTCAGTGCTTGGACTAAAGGTATGTGCCACCACTGCCCAGCGTCCAGCCCTCTTTTCAAGTCTCTAGTAATGATTATTATACTCTCCTCTTCTATGAGTTCTAAGTTTATAGATTCCACATAGAAAGTGAGGTCATGTGGTATATATACATATATATATTTATTTGGCTATACCTGCTTTATTTCTTTTTGGCTCATTTCTTCCAAGTTCATTTATGTTGTCTGAAGTGAAAGGATCTCTCCCTTTTGAAAAAATAATATTCAATATGTATATATCCCACAGTGTGATATCACTTCATATCTGCCAAAATGTTTTTTTATCATATGACAAGAATTAGCAAGTATATGAAGAAATTGAGACTCTTGTGCACTAATGATGAATATGTAAATGATGTACTGTCATTATAAAAGGGTATAACAAATCTCAATGATATCAAAAATAGAATTCCTGGCAATCAAAATCTACAATATATCTTACATCATTGAAATGAGTATGCTGAAGAGGTACTAGAACTTCCATGTTCCTCACAGCACTGATCACAAGAAGAAGCAAGATACAGAGGTGACAATCATTACAAGATTAAGGAAAGATATTCCTTAGCAACGTTTTTATCATTATCAGATTGCAACATGATAGAACTTATTTTTTTCAATTTGGTTAGACATTGGGATAAAGTTCTACTCAGTAGAAAATTAAAAACTAATCTAATTGTGTGCTTAGTAAATTTTTTTAATCTTAATTACTAGAGGGTATGGGATGGTCTGTATGTCAAATGTGTTGCTGATTGGTCAATGAATAAATCACTGATTGGTCAGTGGCCAGGCAGGAAGTATAGGCGGGACTAACAGAGAGGAGAATTGAGAGAACAGGAAGCTGGGTGGGAGAGACACTGCCAGCCGCCATGATGACAAGCCGCATGTGAAGATGCCGGTAAGCCACGAGCCATGTGGCAAGGTATAGATTAATGGAAATGGATTAATTTAAGCTGTAAGAACAGTTAGCAAGAAGCCTGCCACGGCCATACAGTTTGTAACCAATATAAGTCTCTGTGTTTACTTGGTCGGGTCTGACGGCTGTGGGACTGGCAGGTGATAGAGATTTGTCCTGACTGTGGGCCAGGCAGGAAAACTCTAGCTACATTAATCCTCATTTTACACTGGTAAATTTGCTTGAGAGTTCCTATTCTATTTCACATACCATTCCTAGTGAAAAATGAATATGCATCTGGCAGAAATAGGTCGTATGTCTAACATACAGAAGACTCTGGTTTGTATCCCCAATGTGGTAATTAAGGGAAAGAAGAAAGAAGAAACAAAAGGTGAATTTGGAGTAATCTGAAAAACTCAGTTAAACAATAATGATTAAAAATAAATAGTTATTTTCTGTAGATAGTTGTCTAGCTGCTAAAATGATAATGCAACACCCAAGGATTTCTGATAATGTTAAAAAAATAAGGTTTTTCCAAATTTAGCAGATCAATAAATATTTTAAACTAAACTATGAGAAATTAATGTCATACATAAATTTCTGAATTGCAATTTGAATGATGATTTGGCTTTTAGGTATTCATATAATATTAAATTGAAAATACAGATGCAATGTTTACATGAATATCCAATTACATTTTATAATGTTAAATGTATAATATTTAATGCTGCTTATATCCCTAGAGATTGGTGGAGAAAGAATATGAAAACACTGCTGTTTAATAAATAATTACAAAGTAATCCACTGATAGTGAAGAAAAGGCAAGAAAGGTTAAATAAACGAAAATTTCTGTACATACAATCTTTCTTACATTAAGTTCCTGTACCTAGAGAACACAATTTCTGGGTGTTAGATTTGATTTTCTGATCTGGGCATTAAATATTTACTTCTAATTATAGCCTTATGTGAGACACAAACAAAAACTAATTTACATTATTAATGATGCAAGAAATGTGCTGTTTAGTCTCTTAAGATTTGTAGTAAAGGGGGACACATGTCAGAGATTTACTTTACCCCCTTTTTCCTTTTGAAATCAAGTTTAAAATGATAAAACTTATTTAATTAACTACTTAGGAATTACATATTTCTGCCAACTAGAAAGTAAAGAGGGGATATTGTCTGAGATGGGTCTGGGACTACAAAGGTTCCATTTTCAGGCTTAGCGTCTCAAGGGGGAAATCAAAGGCTTCTTTTCTTTCAACAGTTTGGGGGAGATGATATTTGGAGATGTTGACAGCTGCCAAACTGCAAAAACAGTAAAGGAGCTCCCTCCCCCCAGCGAAATTTCTGGTTTTTATCTGCAGCAGTGTGTTTGTCTGGTCCTTTATTCTTTCATGATTTTGTTTCTTGAAAGAGATAGCTTTCTAAGAATGTTCGCCATTCTCCTAGCTGTAAAAGAACAAACCAGTATTTCCAGTAACATTTACCAGGCATGCTTTCCTTCAATTTCTTATTTACATGTAGTTTTAGTTGAATGACTATAGATAGCTCAATACTAACCAGCCTGAAAGTCTAATTTTCATGCAAATGAAAGAAAAATCACAGAATAAATAACTCACTACTTTAATCTAGTGGGATGAGTTTTTTTATAAGTAATTCTATTATGTTGCTTAATGGCACATTGCAGTATCTGAAATATTTACACTCTGATTCTAGACTCTAGAAGATACTATGCCTTGATTAAAAGAAGTATCCGGTATCTAAATATTGGTTCTTACTGATGTACAATGTTTGGAGGTTTCAAGTATTAGAATGCTTTATGTAACAGAAAATTGAAACACAAAAACATGATTTACTGTTTTATTTGTGTGTGTGTGTGTGTGTGTGTGTGTGTGTGTGTGTGTGTGTGTGTGTGTGTGTGATTATTCCTCACTTTAGAATCAATAAGTTAGTTTTGGATTGTTGAAACTCAAGAATAATAGATACAGTGAGAATTTGGTGCACGCATTCAGCAAGAATTTACTAGATGTTACCTCTGGATAAGTGATTTATAGTCACTCAATCTTGATTACTTTACCTATAAAATATGAATAATAATATCATTTGCCTCATATGATTCTCAAAATCGAACTCAAAACTTATGCCAAGTACATATTGCATTAAGTAGAACATAGCACCTGATGAATAAATAATTATTATCATTTCTGTTCCTTGGTTATAATGCTATAGATAGATGTAGAGCCTCCTACAATTGGTTGTCTAAAACTAAGGGATTGACTCTAGAAAACATATGCATAAATGCAACAATAAATAGGCCATGAATTTCAGAAGGAGAGGGGCACAAGAGGAGTTGGGAAGTTGGAGGGAGTAGAGAGGAGAAAATGCAGTATAAAAATAAGAAATTTTAATTAAAAAAACACAATCACTTAAAACTTGATTCTTGATTGTTTTCATTCTGATTGGAGAAATGGAAAGATTTTTCAACTTTGATTGCTAGGCTTATTTTGTTGTTTTTAACATGTATTTCAGCTGCTTGTGAACTGAAAATTACAGAAAGACAAAGTTGAGGGTTTTTTTTTAAAAGCAATATGTTTCAGCAGTGATGACTCTTATAAACCTGATCTATGAGTACTGACATATAATTTGATGTATTTACCAACTAATAAGCACAGAAAAGCATATCTAGCTAAAATTGGCAACATGAGTTTTATGTTTTCCCTTGGTGAAAGGGATTTAAATGGCAAGAAGATAGGAGTTATGTGATTGGTTATCTTAAATATTAGTAAACATTAGGATAATATAAGTAAAGATATTGGAAGAATTATGTTTTAAAGTTGGCATTAGTTCTCAAGCCTCTGGAAAGCAACTTCATTCAATCGTTCCAATTATTTTAAAATGTGTACTAGAATACACGTTTTGTTGTTTTTGATACTTTTAATTTTAGAATAATTTAAGACACAAAAATTAGACTAGTATTATAGCCGCTAAAATCTAACATCATGTGTGACAACATTAGAACAATAAAAATCAAGATGTGAGCATGTATAGAGTACTCTCATCTACAAACATTATGCAAGTTTTCTAACTGCCCCCTAAACTTCTGTATGTATTCTAATATCAAATCTTGTATTACAAATTCTATTAATCATCATGCCTCTTCACTCTCTCTTTGTCTTGGTTAATTCCCCAGCATTTCTTTTCTTTCATGACTTCAACAAATTTAAGGAATAGATACTAGTCATTTTCATTTTGTGCAATGGTTCCTAGTGCTGGAATTCAGTTTGTCCATTTATTTTGAAATCCCAGAAATAATATATATTGAACTTTTAGTGCAACTGTTATTGTTATGTCTACTTATTGGTTTAGTTAATCTTTAATAATTGGCTGAAGTAGTATCTGTCAGGTTTGAGCAGTGCAAATTTTCTATTTCTCCTCTTGTTTATGCATCTATTCTTAAGAGAAACTGTTTTACAGCAGACTTCCTGGTGTTGTGGCTATAACAGTCCTCCCACTCTCCCTTTCATAATGTTCCCTGACCCTTAGATTCAGGAGATGTGATGCAGATGCATCCATTGAGGCATAGATTTCCATTATCTATTGATTTCTGCGTTGTGTTCAGTTGTGGTTTTCTGTGATTGTCTCCATTTGCTGTAAAGAAAAGCAACTTTGATGAGGGGTGGTAGTTACACTTACCTGTGAGTATGATGATAAGAGTTAGAATGCAGTAATTAATTATGCTGCTCTAGTAAATGGAGGTAGTAGATTCTTTTCTATAGACCATGATCTCACTAGCCAGGGGAAGTTAGCCAGGTTTCCAGTACCAGGCATGATTTCTGTCCTGTTGAGTGAATCCTAGAAATGGCTACAAAAACAAGACAAGAAAAATGGCAATATCAATGGACATGTGAAAGAGGGAAAATTTTGTGGGGTCCCACCCCAGACAAAGAACTGCAGGCAACTAATGACAGCTGGCAGAATGAGATTTAGCTTCTCCCCAGGAATAAGCCCCCGTATTGAAATCAGATACACAAAAAGATCAAAAAGTTTCACAGGTTGTATTTATACATAATTGTACATACATACATATGTAACAGCAATAATCAAAGAAAGAAGGGCTATGGAATTAATAGTGGCGGGAATATGGGAGGGATTCAAAAGAGGATAGATGGGAGGGCAGGAGGGAGGAAAGGAAGGGAGGAAAATGATATTCAATTCCAGTTAAAACATTTTAAAAAATCACAAATGTTTCTATTTCTCTTCTGTGATTACTAGGCACCTTCTAGGATCCATTGAAGCCACAAAAAGTTTATATTTCTCATAATAGAATTGCTATTAATTTTATCATATGTTAATGACACTTGACTAAGAATTGTGGTACTTACCAGTGATGATATCTCTTTGCATCATTCATTATACACTTACTGTTTGTAATTCTACTGAAAATATGCTTCCTATTCTCCATTTACTTGCCTATTAAATTGTTCATTGAAGTAGCATATACACATTATTTTACTGTATGAATTATAATCTATATTATCAACATTTTTTCCAATTCTTTTTTTGAAATTGAGCACCAATTCAAATTGGATACATAAGACAGATCTCAGTATTATTTACCATTATTTTAAGAAAAAAAGACAGGCGGTGGAGGCACACACCTTTAAGCCCAGTTGTCGGGAGGCAGAGGCAGGTGGATCTCTGTGAGTTCCAGGCCAGCCTGGGTTACAGGGTGAGTTCCAGGAAAGGCGCAAAGCTACACTGAGAAACCCTGTCTCAAAAAAACAAAAAAAGAATAAAAGAAACCAAGAGTTTTATTAAATTAAATTAAAATGTAGGCAACTTTATTTGCATTCTTTTCAGGAGCCACAAATGAAAAGATGGGATTTTTTTGTCTTATGGGGGAGAGGAGAGGAGGGGAGGAGAGGACGGGGGAGGGGATGGGATGTTTTTAATTATGAACCAAACACTGGGAATCTCTTTGTAGCTTAGGTGATAATATACTCTCAATAAGTTATTCTTATTCCTTTATCTGAATAGGGAAAGCATTAGTGGAATGAGGATGCATATATTGTGAGTTCCTGTCTCAAAAAAGATATAATACAATATAGATCTGGATTTTAAATTTATTTTATAGATCAGTTAAATCAATTTAAAAGAATATACTTAAAACAGGTTTGATATTTTGTAAGAACATCGTGTACTTACAGAATTATGCTTCTTTTCCAATAAAATATTATGGTTTTAATTAATAATTTGTCAATTTATAAGAATGGCAACATTCTATTAAGTTACAATATACTTTCTTCACTAATAAATTAAGAATAACTACTTTAAAATTATGGTTAAAAAAGAAAATTGATGTTCTATTATTATTAAAATCCTTTATACAAGAGCAATTAATTCTTCATTGCTTACCAGAAAGGACACACTCGATTTACAGATTATTTCAATATATCTAAATGACAATATGAATGTCATTATCAGTTGTTTTAATTAAACAGCATTCTTCCCCCATATTACTGTGAATATAGTCTAGAAGCTTCTACTGTCAGTTAATTTCTGAAAATTTTCATGAAAACTAAAATATTTAATTAAATGCTACTTTTTTGCAATGTTGGCTTTGCTAGAATATAGGGTGACAGCATCATTAATCAGCTTCTTTCATGACATAAGATTAACTTTTATATTGAAACAAATGTGTTGTTCATGTGCAATCAAATCTTCATTTATACTTTGTGGGAAATTTGAAATCAAATGCATGTCTAAGACTGAGCTCTCATTAAATAGTTTGATCATATAGAGTTTGGAGCTATTTAGAAGGCCATGTACTCCACCCTAGATTTCAAAGGGAACTTAAATCTTTTTAATTCTCAAAGTTCTCAAGAACTTTAATTTAGCGTAACAAACACTGTTTCCACTAACTGGTTTAATTTTCACATGCTGAGTACCAGACTTCCAGAAAAAGATCATGTGTTTTGCCAGAGTTCAGTCCAGTGGCAGATTAGATTTTAATTTGTCTTATATCTAAATTGCTACTAATTCATAGATACATTGCCTAAGCAGAAATATTTTGGTCTCCAAGAGTTCACAGTATAGAAAACAATTGATAAACCATATGCAAGGTTTAAAAAGTTTTTGATGCCTGTATCCAAATGCAGATGTTGCCAAACTGTACGGAGCCCACCACACATTTTCTGTCTTGTAAACAGCATCTGGACCCCAGGAAAGAGAAGAAGGAAGTGATTTGCATCTGGCTCAGGCAATTCAATATGAATGACTAGAAAATGTGAGAGTAGTAGCAAGCTGTACATTGTCAGCAATGAGAAAAACAAGGAATGAGCATGTGTAGTACATTTTACATACTTTACACTATCCTGTTCCCATGTGAGTCAACATTCCTGTGGGCTAAGGAAGCTTCCCATTTTTGAATCATGATGACTGAGACATGGGTTTATTTCAGATATTTCTTCAGATTTTCTTATGTTAAATGAGAAATATACCTGTATTTCATAGATAGCTATCTTGAGGAAAACTCCTGAGAGGGTGGAGAAGAGCAATGTGGAGATTGACATGCCAGAATTATTGACAGCTGTTTAGCAGGTGTATCAAGAAAGTCTGGATTACAAGATCTGTGGCTAGACCTCCTTTATCCTCTGACATTCTGCTTCCTGGAAACGCTGGAGGCATCTTAGTACATAAATAGGGAAGCAAGAGTAGTCATTTTTAGAAGAAATGGAAAACATTTGAAAGAGCTCAAAATCCTATTTATGTTTTGAAACAAATTCCAATCCTGTTTGTTTGTTTGTTTGTTTGTTTGTTTCCAGGATTTTTCCAGGCTACTCTGACCCAAATGCCTGTGCCCTCCTTAGAACTTCTCTGGAACATATTGCTTTTACCCCACATTGTGATGAAGACAACCACATTGCTTTAAAACAAATTGTCTTTTTCTACATTTCTATATTTTTGTATTATTTAAATTGTTACATTTTTACATTTCTATCTCTACATAGTAGACTCCTTGAGCTAAAGTTTCTCATTCATGTGAGTACCTCTCAAGAGTTTTTGAATAAGTTTTGTATCTAGAAACTATTGGACTGATTGAGAATTATAAGAAATTAAGAAATACGGAAAGTACCAAGAAGAAAAGATTTATTGGATATTCTAATGGAACTGAGTTAGTCAAATACACTAATGTACATAACATAAAGGTATGGCCTTTAGGGTATCTACTTGATTACTTTATTAAATATGTTTTCATTTTTAGTTACCAGTGTTAATTATTACCACATTCAATTTTAATTTAAAAGTTAGTTTCCTCTGGCAGTGACCCTGAAGCAAGCTGAGCAATCCACTAATTGATTCTAAACTCTATTTTAATTACCCTCGTGTTCTTTTCTTCAAATCACAGAAACATCTTAAGAATTCTGCCATACAAATGAACTTTTTTCTACATGCATTATTTCAGGTATTTAAAAATTGGTCAAGATACCTTTCATTTGTTAGATAAAATTCTCAAACAAAAACTATGTGCTTTTTTTCAAATATCTCCTTTCCACAGTTATCGTTACTTGTGAGGCAAAGAATATTGAAGAAAAAATACAATTCAATAAATTTTAACATTCACCAATAAAGAAGCAATAGCTATTAAGATTATATATCATCTTAAGACTTGTTTTATGATTGTATTCACTAATTTATATGTTAATTCTTTTGTTTCTGATATTTGTCCTATGAAATGGTTACTCTTAGTCCCATTTTAGGATGAAAATATGGGCACAGGACTAGAGAGGTACACAGCCTTATAGCTAGGATTCAAATCTGTTTTCCTAACTACAGATTCAAAAACCTTAACTACTTAAGTCATTCTAAAATGAATCACACAAAGGTGATCATCATTTGACCTTAGTAATGAATCATTGGGTATGACAGAATCAAAGATATTTTGTTCAGCAAGGCAAAGACAGGAAACTAGACAAAACAGTAAAAGACTGAATGTTGATTGAAAGATTGACAGAAAATATGGACTCAGATATAGGAGCTAAGGTAGTCTAGTCTAAAAGACAGAAACTTGCCAATACAATGCAATAGAGTTAAGGAAAATGAAAATACTTACCTCGGGTCTGAATTGATGTATATTAATTTAGTACTTTGAAAATTCATTGACTTGACCTTGATACATAGATAGTAATCAATGTTATCCATTATTAATCACTATTATTGATTAAATGCAGGTAATAATACATAACAAAGATATGGGGTTCAATTTGCCATGAAAATCTGAAATCTGGTCAGATAATTAGATTGAGATAATTATGAGATGCTTGAAGTTTAGACCCCAAAACTATACACTTTCAAATGAAGAGGTTAGGACCTTTTATTAAGTCAACAAATAAAAGATTCATACATAGAAAATGAATACAGAGTCCAGTTAACAAAATTCAGGAACAATTGGTACCAAATAAAAATGGGATTTGATCCATGACAATTCTTTATAGGTCTATCTTATATTGATCCAAGATTACTCTTAGGAACTGGGGACAGGAGGTAATTTTGTGGGCTGAGTGAGTCCTAATTTCACAAGTACAAAAGTCCTGAAGCCAAAAATTAACTAACTAGTCATATCGCATTTTTTCAAGTATACCAATCTTTGTGTTCTACCACAGTTCAAACTGACAAGCTAAATCTGAGTTGAAAGATACACAGTTATTAGTAAAAATTGCAGAACAAATGTCATGGTAACTCTTATAAAGTTCACTGTGAAGAGAGGAAGGGTCCCTTTAGCTGTAACTCATAATGCTAGTCAAATATACAATCTGTTAGGAAGTCAGGCTGAAGGATCAAAAGAAAGTTCAAGCCAGACCCAGAATAGACAACTACAAGACTGGAGAAGAGAATCTTAGCTTACCAGTACAAAGAGAGACGGGAAGATCTGAAACCATACATGAGAGACAATCTGTGGGCACAAACTTGGTAAATTTAGAGTTTTTCAAATGATACTGAAGACTAAAAGTAAGCAGAAAATTTAGTCACGGGCTGGTGAAAATTTGATTGATTAAACAAGAATTAGTACTAAGAAAGTCAATTTTACTCCTTGAGGAGCTAGGTATAGCAGATGCTATTACAAAAAAAAAATTGAAGATCTTGTATCTGACAGATTAAATGATTTTTCTTCAAAGAGAAATGAGAGTTTGTATAACTCTCTGAAGATGAAATCAGTTCCTTCTTTTTTCTTTAAGGAAAAAAGCAAGCTGACTTATAAATGAAATGGAAAGCAGATCAAGAGTCCAGAGTTTCAATTTCATTTTTTCTATAATGCTGTGACTTTGTATAAGAAATACAACTTCCATTTTCCAGCTGTAAAATAAGGACAATAGTTAAGCCCTTACTCCCATTGCAGGAGATTATTTGTAAGTAAAAAATAGTTTGTGTATAGCTAATTTCAAAAGAAAATGTAAGCCTGAAGGAAACAAACAAACAAAAAAGTAGAATTTTTATAATTGTGTAAGTTCTGTTACAGGTACAGGAGGAAAGAATCATACTATTGAGTGCTTTTTTAATTTAATCCTTTGCATAATAATAAAATGTTATATTTTAAAAATCCTAAAACATTATCATAAAGTAAAGTAAAACATCAAATGCTAAGTAATAAACACTATAGATATTCTCAATATAGGGCAAAGAGCTTGGCTTAGAACATTCTCATGTTAAAGTGAAGCTTTAGGAATATGTAAATGGAAGGCATATGCGAAAGGCTGACCCAGATTCTACTTTAATAAGAACTACAGAGTGAAAAAAAGGTTGTTCCAAGGAAACAAATAGAAAGTCTGAAAAAAAAATGTTCAAGGACAGTGGACAAGTATAAGGTGAGAGAAACTGTTTGGGATCATTCACATGATTCTCAAGTCAGTCAAAATTTTAGGCCAATGAGACTCCCTGGAATTATTTTTCTTACTGTAATGGTTAGTATTATTTGCCAATTTGAGATACTATAGACTCATGTGGGATGGACTCATGTGGGAAGGAAGTCTTTTTTTTTTTTTTTGGTTTTTTGAAACAAGGTTTCTCCTTGTAGTTTAATGCCTGCCCTGGAGCTTGCTCTGTAGACCAGGTTAGCCTTGAACTCACAGAGATCTGCCTGGCTCTTCCTCCCAAGTGCTGGCATTAAAGGTATGCGCCACCACCGTTTGGCGGGAAGAAGTCTTAAAGGGGGATTGTATACATGAGGTTGGCCTGTGGGCATGTCAATGGGAGATTATTCTGATTGCATTAAGGTTGGAAGACCCACTTGCTGTTGGTGGCACCATTCCACCAGAAGGGGTTTCTGGATTGAGTTAAGAGTAGAGAAAGCAAACTCAGCACTGGCATGCATGCTTTAATTCATTGTTCCCTCCTCTTGACTGTGGAGGTGATGTATAAAGATTCTTCAAGTTCCTACTACCTTGACTTCCATTCAATAGTGGACCATAACGTAGAATGGTAAGCCACATGAGTAAACCCTTTTGTCCTTATGCTGATTTTGTCAGGATATTTTACCACAGCAACTGGTAAAGAAGCAAAGACTCCCACAACCATCATCTTCTTGGATTCAGATTACTTCCTCAAGAGAGATTCCTCACACTTCATGGTATAAGTCTTCCTACAATATCTTGATCACACTCATAGTTTTCATTTTTTAATAATTTTAGCATTGCTTATCTCTCCCATTAGAATATGTATTCCATGAAGGCAGAAACTCTGTGAGGTTTTCATTAATATTGTATCTTCAGTGTTTAATATAGTACATGTTATTATTAACTATTCTTTGAATAAAAGTACTAATAACTTTATAAAACTTATAAAATCTCTGTAGCATATCAGCATGTATTAGTATATGTTATTTGGAGCCCAGTTTATAACACAATTCTTGCACCATAGGCCCAGGAAACATTATGATAAAGAGGACAGAAAGACTGTAAGTGCTAGAGGACATGGAAGTTGTGGTAGTTTGAATGAAAGTGGCCCCTGTAGGCTCAACGGGAGTGGTGCTATTAGCAGGTGTGGCCTTGTTGGAATAGGAATGGCCTTGTTTGAGGAAGTGTGTCACTGAGGGTGGACTCTGAGGCTTCAGATGCTCAAGTCAGGCCTAGAGTCACTCTCTCTTCCTTATGTCTGCCAATCCAGAGATAAAATTCTCAGCTATCTCTCCAGCACCATGTCTGCCTGTGTGCCACCATACTCTCCACCATGATGATAATGGACTAAACCTCTGAAACTGTAAGCTAGCCCCAATTAAATGTTTTCTTTTATAAGAGTTGCTGTGGTTATGGTGTCTCTTGACAGCAATAGAAACTGTAACTAAGACAGAAGTTGGTGTCAGGGACTGTGATATGGCTGTGACAGGCTGAACCACACTTTTGTTTGGAGAAATGCAGAACACTTTGGGACTTTGGGTTAGAAAAGCAGTTGAACACTTTAAACTGGGTTTAATGAAATGGAATTCTGAATGGTGGGCTACATTAGATGGTCATATAATTCACTGCAAAGAAATGGCATTTGGACAAATACAAAGTCATCCAAATGAAGATCTCAGTGAAGCACAGCCAGGAGAACAGAAAATACAAAGGTCACAAAATAAGTATGTGTTTGAGTAAAAGCAAGGAACCTTTGCTGCAGGCATACTGTGTGTAAGATGGAAACCAGGGTTAGAAGAGCTTAGAAAGGTAAGTAAAGGTCAAATTGTGAAAGGTGATACACTGTTTATATCTAATTCTAAATGCAATGGCTTGAGGTTCACAGGGTTTAAGTAGAAAAATGCAACATCATACTTTCAGTTTTGCACAATGGACTAAATTCTCTGCAAAAAAGAGACTGGACCAACAATAGAAAAATACGAGCAATCCTGAAAGTTATGTTGGTAGTTATGGAGATGATGCAAAGTTTTAAAGATTTAGAAGAGTATGGTTTTATTCCATTTGTTTGAGCTGCTATAGTAGTAGCTTTAGACAGGTAACATAAGTAATAGAATTTTATTTTGAGACTCACCTGAGGAGAAGTCTAAGGCTAAGATGCTAATAACGTCAATATGTGGTAGGGGCACATGTTCTAGTTCACAGTGACAACTTCCAGCTGTGCCCTTATGTGTTAATAGAGGTAAGTAGTCTCAGGTTTCTTTCTGAATTTTTATTTTATTTAATTAAAAATATTAAGTATCATATTTATTCAGTATAATGTGACACACATATGCATTGCACAATAATTGAACCAAGCCATAACCCTACATGGTCATTGAACTTTTTGTCATAAGATAATTGAAAATCTAATCAACTTTATTATAGTATTTTCTGATTGCGTTCTGTTATATTCTTCACTAATTTTTTGAAATATTTGAAAGAATCAACTTGAAGTGTTTTTATAAAATATTTCATGTTTTACATTATAATATAATACCATTTACCCCTTCCATTTTATCTCTGTAAATTTTCCCATATATTTCTTTTCCTTGCTTTCTTTGAAATTCATGGGCTCTTTTTCTTTAATTGTTGTTGTTGTTGGTGGTGGTGGTAGTGGTGTGTGTGTGTCTATGTGTCTGTGTGTATTCCTAAATATATAAATTCAATCTGCTCAATTTGTATTCTGATCATTATTTGTATGTATATATTTTCAGACATAAACATTTGATATTGGACAACCAATTAGTATCCTCTTCTCCAAGGAAGACTATGTCTCCCATACCCAGTATTCCGTAGTTGCCTGTAGTTCTTTGTCTAGGGTTGAGTCTTATTGAACTTTTGGTAATGGTTTGAGAGAGTAAGGTCTATAGTGGGAGAGAAAGCAGAGGAGCACAAATGAATCGTGACTAGAGCAGTAGAAGAATGAGGCAGCTGATCAGTATATTACATTGCCCAGGAAGCAAACAACCTGGGACACAGGCCTGACCAGTTCCCAAGGACCCATCTACTCCAGTAGGGCCCCATCTCCCAAATATTCCACAACATTCCAAACTTGTTGGAGACGAAGAGTTCAAACATATGAGACTATGTGGGATTTTCACACCCAAATCACAATAATAATAATAATAATAATAATAATAATAATAATAATAATAATAACCATAGTCAGTATTCTATGCAATAAATCACTGAAACAAATTCTTGTTAACTGAAACCCTGTACTTTATGAGTAGCATGCCCCTTCCCCTATTTATCAACATCCAAAACCTCTCTCACCAATCAATACACATGACACTAATGCCATGTTTTACTCTGTTTCTTTAAGTTTGATGTTTTTTAGATCATACATATCACTGAGAAAAAGATAGTTTTCTTTTTCTGCCTAGCTTATGTTGTTCAGTATAAAATTCTCTAGACTTATCCATGTTGTTAAAACATGATCTAAATTCATTTCAGAGTTTCTGGTGTATTCTTACTGGATAACATCAAATAGATCTGCAATAAACAAATGAAAATAAACACATTCTTACTTTGAGAAGAATGACTTTACCAGAATGTTCTGGCATCAGTGTCCCTCCTCATTTAATATCGGCTATGTGTAAAGTAAAGAGGGATTTGGTACTTGTAACTCTAGTTTGTTTTGCCCTGTTCTGAGAAATCTCATGAAGTTGCCTCCCCTTCCTGTATAGTGCCTTTTCAGGCTTGGGCTGCCACGCCTAGCCAATTTACCACAGCTTCTATCCCAAGTGCTTTTTCACCTCGTTTCTATATCTCACAAGGCAGAAGTAAATGTTTTGAATGAAGTAGAAGTTTTTGAAGATACACCTTGCTAAAATAACTTTGTGAAGGCTAGAGACCCTCTAATTAGATCTGTACCCATTTACATACCTCATTGTTTTCTGTTTCTCTATATGTTTTGGCCATACTTTCAAATAATGGTATGTAGTCTCTTATTAGCAATCTTATTATATGAATTTTAATATCAAAATATTAGTCTTCTTCTTAAACCTTATGGATGTCAGTATATATGTTAGTAAGTAATATTCATTAAAAGGCAGTATGGTCAATGCAGCAGTGTGCATAATTTTCCAGAATGCAGTTGATCTGGAATCTAGTTCTGCTTCTACCTACATCCTATACTTCTATTAAGCAGACCCTTCCTATAAGTCTTAAGTCTACCTATTTGTAAAATGAAGGTGTTAAGCTTAATGATCTCTTAGTTTTCTTTCAGTTAAGAGTTTTTTTAATTTTCCTCAAAATAAATGTGAGACACGTTTAAACTCCAAGTGAAAATTATTAATTCAAGAACTCTATAAATGAACTTGGGTGAATTCTACCAAAATTTTGAGCTGGCCTTGCTATCTGATGGAGGAATCGGGTGAGAGCATTGTGAGTAAAATGATGCAAACATGATTACCAGGGGCATATTTATCCCCCTTAGAAGAACAAACTGTTTTCAAGCACTTTTGAAGCATGCATTTACATCCAAATCCATTTACATACAAATTCCTGATGACAAATAATTCTCAATTCATTACACTAGCTCCCAGAGGCCCTCTACTTGGCAACACTTTGTTAGTCTGGTTTGGGTTGCTGTAGCTCCTTGACTGTAATAAAATTGCCTTTCAAATATTCTATCATTTTTTTAATTAAAATTTTTTTAATTAAAAAAATTATTCAGGCCCCCAATTAGACTGAATTAGCAAGGTTTTGAGTTACCACATTTTTGTTCATTAAGCTCTGCCAAGGCTCTTGCCACTGAATACCAATCTCCAGCTGCGCCCTGGCCTCTTCTCCAACTTACTGAGTGTGAGAAGCACTGTCACTCTCTGGATACCCACTGTGCCAGGGACAAGCACATGGATCTAATCAGAAAGGGCCTGCTCTTGCCCTCCTCAAATCTTTTCTTCCCTTGGTATCTATTAATCCTTCCTATGTATCCTGGCTGACTTCATGGGAATCTTTCCCAGACGTTTCTTCTCATGGGTGTGACAGTTGGTTTGGGAGGAGCTTGGACAGAC